GGGGGCCAGGTGCGCCTAAGGAAGTGTGAACGCATGGACAAACCCAGGCCAAATTCCAGTTCCATCCTTTGCCCAAGGTGTGACTTTAGACATTTCCTCCTCCCGAATATAAACACGAGGACACCTACTCCTGGGGTTACTGTGAGGACTGAACTGTGTCGGTGCTCAATAACTGCACTTGACCAGGAACTGTGGTCACCTGCTTGTCTCCAGTCCACTGCCCGGCCCCTGTGTGCCTGGGTGTTGGGGAGGGTAGAGAGAGACACGTGTTTGGGAACTGCTTTATATATCTTCCCCACCCGCAGAAGACGGCTGCTGCCCACCAGGGCCACGGCACACACGGCAGGAATCCCACTGGACTAGGCTGCCGCTGGCCTGGCCGAGATGTCAGCGTTGCTAGAACATTTTCACTCCCTTAAAATGGCAGTCTGTGATTTCATCGCCATTAGAGGAATGATGCTGTTTGTAGAATGTTTAAATTGTTAGAACCAACGATAAGGAGACTAATAATAGTTTCCATTCTGGAGACGCTTAGCTGTGTGCGCACCGGCATTGGCCCATTTATCCAACACACTCGGCCTCATGATACTGCTGTGGGGGGATACTGTTATCATACCCACTTTGCAAACAAGGAAACTGAGGCATGAAGGTGGGGGTGCGGTGGGGACTACTTGCCCTCAGTCACCCAGTTCATACTCAGAACATTTGACTCCAAAACCCATATCCCAAATCATCCAGCAAAATCATTTTCCACTAAGTCTGAGGAACTAGTCAGACCCAACTGCTAGGTACCCAGAGCCCAAAGGAACACAGGAAATCATGTGGCAAGGGAAGTGGGTCTTAAATGAGCAGGAAGCTGTAACAGACACTGTCACCCTGGCCAGGACTCCTCAGGCGCAGGGAGCCAGTGTGTGCATGGGGTGGGGATGGGGGACATTGGTTCTCTCTGCATGTGGTTTGGGGAGGAAAACGTCCCCAGTCCAAGATCTCGATATTTTGTGTCC